TTTTTCATATAAGACGAATTATACTTGCGAAATACTGGTAACCGATTACTGGAATTCATAGAAAATCTGTAAAAATTGGGAATTTCTTTGTTAATTTCTGGAATTTCATTTATTTTACTCTAGAAAACCTAATAAAATGAGAAAATTTTCTTGTTCATGGCTAGTTGCAAACAACTTGAATTTACTAAATTGTACTTTTCTGCGAATTTTTGCAACTTTCATGTGTTATATAATAATTTCATAAGATTCATAAAATTTCAATGAAGTATCATAATTAAGATTTGTTTTATAAGAAGAAGGAACCTTAAAAAAAGACTTTAAATATTTGTTCTTTGTTTGTTTGTGATTCAGAAAATTTACAACTAATATTAAAATTAATGAAATTCCAGGTTCGATTTTGAAATTCCATTACATTTCAACATTTTACAGACTTTTTGCTGTCAATCTATGACTTTTCCAGGTTTTCAAGGATTTCTAGGTTCTGCAGCAACTCTGCGCTACGATTTTTGATCTAATTATATAAAAAATTCATTTGTAAACTGATTTTTGACCTTCAGTAAACGGTGCACAATGGAGTATAATATTATTTATTTAAACCTATCAACTTTATCAGACTTCCTCGTGTAGGAAGCAAGGCACATCATTTAATTCTTTGGAATTTTTTTTTGACAAATCTATACAGTTTTAATTAATTTAAATAAAGAAACATATATACATATAAATCCGGACTGTATCGATTTGTAACAAAAATATCCAAAGAATGAAATAAAGTTATTGCTTTCTACACAAGGAAGGATTATAATTTATAATGATAGTTTAATCATTTCAATTAATTAAATAATTTTAAATTACGTTACGTTCAATAAAGAAATACCTTATAAGGAAGAATTTCTTCTATAGAAACTAAACTTTCTTAATTTACAATTGATGCTAATAAATTAAATAATATTATTAAAATAATTTAAAACTGTATTCTTAAAATAAGAAAAAGTTCATATGTCAAGTACTATAAAATAAACTGTAATTTCCAACATTCTAATTTTAATTCTCGATCATTTTATTCAAATTCATATTTTTTCATATATAAACTTTTAACGTCTTTTTCAAATAGTTTTAATAGTATTAAAATTATATTCCAATTCATATTTTATTTTTACAAAAGAAATTTGAATTAAAAATTTTTAAATTCTGTCAAATTTTTAAAATTATTAATTAATAAATAAATAAATTAATTAATTAATTAATTATTAATTAATTAATTTATTAATTTTATATAAAAAAGTAAATAAGAAGTTAGCCGCGAGCGAATTGTTGCTATAACAATCTATAATTGTTATTTTTTCAATAATTATTTTGGAAGTTTTTTTCATTTTGTACTTTTAGTGGGAATGCAATAATTCTAGTTTTTTTGAATAAGCATATTGTTTATAAAATAACGAACAAATTAAAAGCGTATTAAATTGTGTGTTTTTAAAAATAAATATAATATAATAATATTTCTTTCTTCAGGGTAGCCACTTTTTTCCCTAGCCCTAAAAAATATTTTCGTTTACTCTAAAAATTATTGAAACTCCAAGAAATGTTTGTAATAGATTTTTTGGATACCTTTAATTGTAAAATTATTTGGAACTTAAATAGATTTTTTAAAATAAATATTTATAATTATTACTATTTTTTCACAGGTATTAAGGGGACATTCCAGTTCAAAATGTCAAAAAAATCGATTTTTTTTTATTTTTATATTCGGATTTCTTATAGTGTCAAGAATACTCTCCTAAAATATTATTGCAAAATAATAAAATAATAAATAATAATAATAAAATATTATTTGAAGTAAAACAAAAGTTATAGATCCTTATTCTTCGCCATGTCAAAGATGTTTTTGTATGCGGATAAGCAATCGAATGATTTAAATGTTTTCTCATTTGAATTTTTTAAAAAAGACAAACAAAAATGTATTTGGTGTTGCTGATCACAAATTAGATATCAAATTTTTAAAATTCAAAATGGCGGATCCAATATGGCGAAAAAGAAAATTTTTTTATTTTAATATTTTTTTTCGTTAAATTTTTTTTTCTACCCTATTGCATCCGCCATTTTTAATTTTGAAAAAATGATGTCATATTCATAATCACCGACCCCAAAAACCAACCCGTAACGATTTTCAAGCAAATCCAATGATTTTGAAAAAAAAATGTCCGCCATATTGGATCCGCCATTTTGAATTTTAAAAATCTGATTCCATATTAGTAATTAGCGACCTCAAAACCCCCGAGTAACGATTTTCAAGCAAATCCGATGATTTTTTTTTAAATTCGAAACTTATGAACAAAAACTTTAAATGCGTTTTTCTCAAAATGTCTTTTTTTGATCTGGTAAGAGTGATATCTCGAGTTCTTCTGAAGCGATTTTAAAAAATCAAACGGCTTTTGATTCAGCGTCATCATGCCTATAAGTGGAACCTCAAAAACTGGAAAATTTCCAACTCTCTTTACTTTATAAGAGAAATTCTGAATAAAAACACCTTTTTCTTGCACATTTTTGGGAAAAAGTACTCTAAAAAAAAGGGGAGAAAGAAAATTTCACTTTTTTGAGGTTCCACACCTAAAGAAATATCTAACGAAGAGAATGTCACTTCGTTTTTGGTTTTATCTGTTTTAGAAAGTTTGGAATCGATCTTACCACCGAAAATGGGCATTTTCGAAAATGGCGTATATCGCCGCCAATTTGAAATTAAAATGAAAAAAAAAATTTTTACAAATTCTTAAATAAATTATTTATTACAAGTAAAAGAAATTTTTTAAATAAATGTCATAGTTATTTTAATAATATATACTAAAAAAGCCTTCTTTTTGCCTGTTTTGAACTGGAATGTCCCCTTAAGATTTTAAAAAATTTCAAATTTCAAATCCTTTATAATTGAATAATTTATAAGAATTGCTACTTTAACTAATTAAAAATTATTTTTAAGATGTTAATTTAATTATTTTCTAGATATTTTAATTGAAATATTTCTAAAATCCACTTGTTTACGAGACAATTTCATGAAATTTCGAATATTTTGAAAGTTTTTCAATTAAATAAAGGATATATTTAAAAATATAACTAATTTAAAAATAGTATTTCAAAAAACTAACTTATTCAGAATTTTTAATTAAAATTTTTTAAAATTCAACTTTTCTAAAACTTTATTGAAACTTTATGAAATTCAATCTATATTAATAATATTAATTTAAAATTCTAAAATATAAAAAAGTTACTAATAGATTATTATTGAAGAACAACGAATTAATGTTAATGCAAAATACGATTTTTAAAAAATTTATTTTCTAAGAAAAATATAATTTTTTTATTTTTATTTACTTTATATTATTTTTAGAAATTTCGTATCACTTTTGTTCTAATTAGTTCCAATTTCTATACTAATTCAAATTTAGAGAATAAGTCTTGTGATAATATTATTGCAAACAAAATTTATAAATTGACTAATTTTTCTATTTAAGAGGATGTGAAATTTTTTCTCTTTCAAATTTTTTCGATTTATTTTAATGAAAATTGTATTGAAAATAATGGAATTGTTTTAAAGAATTGTATTAAAGTTGATTTTGTTCAATTACTGTTAGAAATAAAAAGAATTTAAAATTGAATTGATTATTTTCTTTTTTTTTAAGTCTGTCACCTTGGACAACAAAATTCAGAATTTTATTATAAATTCTAGAAACTGAATATTTTCCCAGTAATTTTCATAAAATTCCTTGACTTTTCCTTTATCTCCCTGACATTCCGCAAACCTCAATATGTATTTTAAATGCTTTTTACGAAATAAAACGATTTTATAGGAGATCATTCATTCTTTTTTAATGAAATATAATTAATAAGTTTTAAAATAAACATTTCTATTTTTTCTCACAAAATAATCAGACTTAACAGGGTGATCACAAGTTTCTGTTTAACAATTTCCCTGACATTAAAATTACTTTCCCTGACAAAATCTTTTTACAGGAAAATATGAAAGTTTACGGAAAATGAGTAAAATTTATTAATTTTAATAATTTCAAAAAATTACAATTTATAACCCTACCTGAATTCAATTATTTTCTACAATTTTCAACAAAACTTCATCTCTGAATCAATTAATTTAAATAATTTTCCAAAAGTTCTTCTAGCATTCTATTATTTAAATATAAAAACTCAATTCTTTATAAAAATTGTGACTCTCCATATTTTTTTCTTAAGTTATTATTAAATAATTTTTAAAAAACAATAGTTACTCAATTTTGAAAAATTTCAAAACACTTAAAATTTGGTAAAATTTTTTAAAAATAATTGAATTTTTGAAAAATGTAAATAAAAATGATTAAATTTTCGAAGAATTTTAATTATAAACAGGGCTATGATTTCTCAAAAATTTTAATAAGTCCAAAAAGTAGATTTTCATAAATTTTTATTTACATTGTTCGAAGATAATTGAATCTTAAAAAATTATTATAAAACAATTCTAATAATTAGTTTTTAAAAATATTTTAATGTAATTTTTCGAAAATAATTGAATTTCTTAAAAGGATTTTTGTATAATTTAAAAAAACTAATTAATTTTTTGATGAATTTTAATTAAAAATTTTGAACCTGATGGTTTTCTCAAAAATGTTAAAAATAATTCTAAAATATTATTTTTTGCGTGTATTTGGATTTTTGGAAATCATAATAGAAAGGAATCATAATAGAAGAAAAATCAAGCATTGTTGGTTAGTCAAAGAGTATTATAAACGAATTAAAAATTATTTTCTAAAAAGTGAAAAAATCCCATGTTAATTAAATGGGAAAAGTATTGTTATTTAGTCAGGGTTAAACGGCATCGTAAAAATTTATTCTAGTTTCTAGAATTGTTTTTAGGTCAAAAAGAAACGATTTTGACGATACCCAAATGAAAATAGCTAACTTGGGAAATAACGGACACCCTAATATATACTTATTGCTCAGAATAAGTAAAATTCACTCACCAGGTTTGCAAAGTCGACTCCAGTGATAAGGATTGCAGCAGACGGAAAAAGGGTCTTTTGAAGAAAGACAGACTGGAAGTTTCTTGAGTTCCGAGGAGTGTGTGAGATCGGGCCATCGCCATATCTGACAGCAGAGCAAAAGGGGGTCAATAGAAGGTAAGTCACACATAGATCCTCTGCTCGGTGTCCGACAGCGATCCCTTTCGAGTTTGGTTGCAGAAAGGGCCACTGAACTCTCATCATAGGCGTTTTGCCTATGATGAGAATAGTGATGGCTAAGATGTCGCAAATAATAATGGTGATGATGATGATGATTGTGGGGATAGTGGTGATGACGATAAGAGCGGCGAAACATTTGTTGCCTGGGTTCTGTGTCTCGTGGTACCAAAACACAGGAACCAAGATAGGCGCCAAAACTCTCGACTGCATTCAGCAGCATTTCTAATTGGTTCTCCTTGAGCGTTCTGAGGAACTCTTTGCACAATGTTAATCGACTTAGAATTTTCTCTTCATCCTGCAATCTATTGCCTCCACAACATCCGTGATGTATCCTACGGGATATGCTTCGACTTTTTCTCCCCGTTCTTGCGGTAGGGATAGTTGGAGTTGTTCTCTTGTTTTCTGTAGGTGGTTGTACTTTACCTTGCTCGTCCTTGTCCTCTTTCTGTAAAACACTCTCAGCTGCTGCAACAACGTAAACTTGCGACGAATCTTCTTGAGTTTCACACTCGGTTTCATGCTCCCCACAGACCTTAGCCTTCAGGAGACGTTTAGTGAGCACCGCCCGTTTGTTCCAGAACATGAACATGAAACAGGAGTTTTCGAACAAGCATTTGGTAGCCAGTACTTTCTAACCCGAGTGCAGAAAAGTTATTGATCCGAAGTCAGCTGAATCACTCCTACTTTGCCACGAGATTCAAATTATTCCATCAACTTGTCAAACACTACAATTTAAAATTAAAGAAAGGAAAAAGAAATGTAGAAAGCCACAAATTGATCTTCACTAACAACTAACTATACACTAACTTCACTTAAAAAACGAGCTTAAAGATATAAACTCTGGTCACCAGTTTTAAACAGCCTATGTAAATCCTAATTGATTTGATGTTATACAGGCGTTGATTCAGCATCGCAATATTACTACTCAGACATCATCATGCTAACCTGACAAGTTGTCAGCTCACCATGGAACAATCTTTCTCTTCATCATTCTTGAGAAATTTCAAGTCAATATAGAAGAGAGCACACGCACTCACACATCACAAGCACTGTCACATTCTTGAAAAAAACACTCGCAAAGCTTCGCAGCAACTTTAATACTGCAGTTTACCCAGAGAAAAAATATCTTATAAAAAACGTAGAACAATTTATGAAACAATACATCACTTGTTCTTTGTATATTGTTAATAGGAATAACAATATGACAAAAATAATAAAAACTGGTGATATCAATTCATACGTTTTAAAAACACAACTTTTGTGAACGCAAAACTCTCTCGAACCACGTCGTGTTCGAGACTGGTCTTCACTTCTCGTGTTCAACACACACAACTACTGAATGTATGCAGTAGAATTCATTCGCACCCGTCTCTCTCTTTCGTTTGGTCTATCCGTTCTGTTACTCCAAAGAGTCGAGTCAAGGCAGCGCGCCAACACACAAACACCTACCGCATACTAAGCACACACACAAGAATAATGGTTAAAATATGTCTGCCGACAATGTTGCTCTATTACTTGCCATTGGTGGCGCTGTATACTCGCCCCTCTTTTTTGTCAGTCGCCCGCCTCTTACAAGAAAAACCATATAGTTTCACTCTGTAAATACTCATCTCTCAGCTAAATACAATGCTAGTAAAAATTACATTAAAATCTTTCTTTATAATTAGGTAAAATTTTGTATTTTTAATTTAAAACTTTACTATCACTACACATCAACTGTCGCAAATATTTATTTTTTACACAAAGTTAGAATTTGTAAAAACTACAATAAATTATTAAAAATTGTTTTTATGGGTTTCTTTGGGTGTATTAATTAACGCATACCTCAAAATATTTTATAATTTTTATTATTCGATAAATGAATTTAATTTAATCATATTGTGACACAACTTTAATATTTACTAGCAACAATTTGGGCGCATAAGCGCGCGGCTGACATCTCACTCACTTTTTTTTAAATAAAACAAACAACAATTCGCGCGCTAAAGTGCGCGGCTAACTTCTTACTGCCTTTTTTAAAATAAAATTAGCAATTTTAAAAATAGGTAATAGAATTTGAAAACTTTCTAATTAAAATTTTTGATGAAAACACTAAAAAAATTCAATTTTGGAGAAATTACAAATAATTGAAGAAATTCAACTATTTTCAAAACTAAATAAAATTCTTCTTATAAAATTCAACTATGTACAAAATTTTAAAAAAAAATTTGTAAAAATCCCAATTATCTTTGTAAGTAACAAAATTCTTCTCCAAAGTTTAATTATTTTCCTAAATGTCAAAAAAATTCTTATCTATTATTTTCAAAAATAAAATGCATTTTTCTAATTTCAATGATTTTCCATACACTGAAAAAAAAAGTTCATTGAATCAAGTAAATGCATTTTCTTGACCTGATTTATTTGAAACAAACCCATATTTTCTTATTGGAAGAAATTTATTTTCTTGTGTCAAGTAATTTTGAGCATTGATCAAAGTTATTGAAATAAGAAAATATGGGTTTGACATAAGTAAATATCTTACTGTTTCAAACGAACTGTTTTACATGCGCCAAGTCTCGAAAAAGTATTGAATCAAGAATATTATGTTCTCACATCAAGTAATTTACCTTGAGTCATTTGGTATCTTGAGTCAAATAATTTTTTTATTTCCTTTAAAGCAACTATTTATTTCATCCAACACCCATAGTCTTGAGCCAAGAAAATGGGAAGATTAATACAAGTTAATAATTGTTTCAACTCAATTAAAAATTATTTTGTTTCAAAGAAATATTAATTAATCTAAGCATTTCTTTTACTTGAAGCATTTCTATATTCTCATGTTTCAAAATCATTAATTTCTTGCGAGAATATTATATTTTCTGGAATGAAATATTTTATTTATTCAATTCAATTAAGTGTAAGATCTTGAATTAAATCATTCTTTTGTTTCCTTTAAAAAAGTTTTTACTTAATTCAACGCTCATATAATCCTGATTCAAGAAAATACGAAGGTTAATATAAGTAAATATTTGTTTCAAGTTGATTAAAAATTACATTCAATTAATCCCATATTTATTTGAAGAAAGAAATTCATTTTCTTGTGTCAAGTAAATATTAGCATTGAACAGAATTCTTGAATTAACAATTTAGTATTTGGCAGAACTCAATATGTAATTATTTCAACCAAATATTTTACTTTTCCGAAGTACCAAAAAGTATTGAATCTAGAATATCATGTTCTTAAGCAAAATAATAAAGTATTGTGTGGAGAATTCATGTTTCTTGAATCGAATCATTTTATTTATTTGCTTTGAAACTTTTTTTTACTTAACACAATGCCGGTGTTCTTGATCCAAGAAAATATTTTTCTTCAAATGTATATGCAACTTAAATATCAGTTTTTGAAAACTGTCCATTGAGGCTAGGATGGCATAGTGGTAGCGTGACGGCTTCTGGTGCGTGCAACCCGAGTTCAATTCCTCCGACCGTGGAAAATTTTCTTTCAAGGTATATTTGTTGTATTTGTGTTAAGTAATAATTAAATGTAAATATATATGTAAAATAACAATTATTTAATTATTTAAATAAAAAATATAAATGTTAATTAATTAAATAATAAAAATGTTTGACCTAAGTATTAGAAAAGATGAGATGGGGGTAAGGGGGGGGGAATTTAAGTAAATAATTTACTTGTATTGAGAAAGTATTTTTTTGATTGAAATCTATAAATTTTCTCAAATCAAGAAAATATTTTCTTGGACAGAGAACATTATACTTTCTTGATTTGATACATGAATGATTTTGAATTAATATATTCTGCATTTCTTACATGCTACTTAACTTCTTGGTCGAATTCCATATTTTCTTGGATCAAGAATATCTGTTCTTCTCACAAAATAAATGTTTTCTTCATTTAAATCTTGAATTACTTGAACGAACGTTACAAAAAATTGAATGAATAAAATAAAATAATTCAATTAACTATATATATATTCTTAGAACAAGAAAATATTTTATTCATTTAATACATTTCATACTTCGTATAAGAAGACTAACTTCTTGGTCGAATTCCATATTTTCTTTTATCAAGAATATATGTTCTTCTCCCAAATATCCTGTGTCAAGAAAATCGTTTTCTTGAATCAATACTTTAATAGTCTTGGCCGTATTCAATCCCACGATTTGCTTCAACCAAGAAAAATTTTCTTGGATCAATACTTTTTTTTTTCAGTGTATATCTACTATTTTAAGTATACCAAATAAAAATTTCACAGGAATTCAATTATTATTTTTATAAATAATAAATTTTTTTTAAGGAATTCAATTATTTTCATAAAAAATAATTTAAAATTCTAGAAAATAATAATTGAATTAAAATGATGAAAATAATTTCAATGAAGTAACAGTAACAATATTCTTATAATAATATAAAATAATGATTTTATTACTTGGTCATCTTTAATTATTATAAAAAATGAAGAAATCGATCACTCCGAGTCTTCGACTCGGAGCAATCGATATCTTCATATTTTATAAAAAATACTTTTATAAGTTGTTTAATTTAAAAAAGGTTTGAATTCGAAATTTTTGAATGTCTTAATTCCTGTGGAAAATCCTGTTCCAAAAATAAGATTAAAAGAATAGGAATTTTGCAAATATTTTCTTCTTTTTCTAAAACAAAATAATAATTTTGTTAAAAAAATTGTGATTCATAAACAAAAATAATGCAAAATAAATTGCATTATTATTAACTTTTTTATAATTTTTCTTTTCAAATAATTTCAATTTTAAAATTAATATATGGAAAATCATCGAATTGTTGCAAAGAATTTTATCAAAAAATTTGATGATAATAGAATTCCATCAAAGAATTTTATTATTTAGGAAAATAACTGAATTCTCATAAAGAATTTTATTAAAATTTTTTAAAATCCTAATTAAATTCTTTTGAAGAATTTCTTTGGATTTTTTTTTAAACTAACGGAGTTTCTTTAATAATTTTAATTGAAAATTTTGAAAGCATTTGAATTTTATGAAGAAGAATTTTATTAAAAGTTGATTGAAAATAATTAAATTCTTGCGGAGAATTTTACTAATATTTATAAAAATTGTTTCAAAGAATTTATTAAAATTTTTGGACATAATTGAAATTTATGGAAATATTAAAAAATATTTAAATTCATCCGAAGAATTCAATTAAAATTGTTTTAAAAATCATTGGATTTTTGTAAAGATTTTACTATTGAAAAAAATAATTGAATATTGTTTAGAAAGATTTTACTATTTATAAAAAATAATTAAAATGTTTCGCGAGAATTTTTAAAAATTTTAAGAAATAATTAAATTGTTATGAAGAATTTTATAGAAATATTTTAAAATAATGAAATTTTTTCGAGAAATTCAATTAAAGTTTTTTCGAAAATAATGGAATTTCTTTAAAGAATTTTATTAAAATTATGTATATTCAAAATCATTGAATTCATCACAAGAATTTTATTAATACTTTTTTGAAAATAATTGAATTCTTTCAATTTTTTTGACGAATATATTTAAAAATTGCATTAAAAGTAGGGGAGAGTGGGGCAAACCGGACCGGTGGGTAAACCGGACCGCTCTCAATATTTCCGAAATGTCGAAATTGGAAAAAGTGTTGTTTACAAATTTAAAACAACCATGTTTAGTATACCTTATTTTTTCAATCTGACAGTTTTAGCTTGCGTTTGCGCGACGAAGGGAGCAAAAGTTTTTTTTTTAGTTTTTTTCTACACTTTTTCGAATTTTTTCTTAAGGAAATTCTGAGGAAATCGTGTAATGTTTCCAAATATTAGGTCTTAGGTTTTGAAGGTACACACCTCAGGAATATTTACCACCAAAAACTTTGATGAATTTGCAAAGCATTTCTTTTTGACAAACATTTATTCTCAAAATGGGCCTGTGGGGCAAACCGGACCGTTTTCGGTGGGGAAAACCGGCCATAGGATATTTCCATTGAATTAAATTTTTTATTAAAAAAAATATTTATTTAATTAAAATTCAATCCCGTATTATTATTTTCATTACTACAACCATTGTTTACATGATTCTTTATGTTTTTTATTATTGTAGATTAGGTAAATCCAATATAATAAATAAAAAACCAAACGGTCCGGTTTGCCCATGGGGGGTCCGGTTTACCTCAGGGGGTGGGGCAAACCGGACCGTTTGCAAAATTTTTTAAAGTTAACACAGCAACTAAACAATAAAAGATAAAGTATAGGTGCCTCTGAGAAAAAGTTGCGCAATTAAATGATCTTTCAAACAAGCCATCGAAAAATGAAATCGGTTGATTCGTTTAGTCACAAGAGTCAAAAAACTGTTAGGATGTCCGGTTTGCCCCACTCTCCCCTAATTTAATTTTTATATAAAATTTTTTAAAAATATTTTTAGAATAATTGAATTATTTTTAGAGAATTTTAAATTCTTG